CAGGCGATGTCTTGCCAGCACCCTGGGGTGTGCCACTTCCCCATCTCCTGGGGGACACAGCTTCCCTCCCACCCATCCCTGGGAAGCCACTACAGCCCTGCACAGGGATGGATTTTCTCCCCTTGCTGCAGAGATCCCCCTTCCTGTGCCAACACTTACTGGTTTTGTGATTTGCCCACAGAAGTTTGTCCTTTATACCTTGAAAATCCCAGCATACTGACCTGACCCCAGGCCTTTTTCACCTGGCTAGTGACCTTGCATCTCTCACCTTCTCCAGCTTCTCCATGCTGGCTTGTTTGCAATGTTTTCCCTGGCCCTCGTGTCATTTCCATCTCCTGCTTGTCCCTGCTGAGCCAGACCTCTTGTGGGGGCAGCTGGGCTGGATGGGAACATCTGGGGCATCAGTTCATGGGCAGAGGCACAGCTTCATTTGGAAAATACCTTCCCACTTAACATCAAAGGTGATATCTTCCAAATACTGAGGGCAAGGCAGCAAACATTCCACTAGGCATGGCTGAAAAGTTGCTAGGTGTGCAAGAGGCCAAGTATCCTCTTACTCCCTGATTTTCATTAGACGAGGGGAGACAAACCTCTCTGGAGTGTAACATGAGTCACAGCTCTCAGATTCCAAGTGCCTCCAGCATTGTACTGGCTGCTCTCTTTGTCAAAAGAAAGCTAGTTGACTTTATGTTTAATATTAATCAATTTGGGTGGCTATTTCTGATGAGATGAAGCCATGCAGGTAACAACTCAAAGCAGTCACTTTCTGCACTGGGCACATCCAGCTCACCAAGGACACATGTTCCTTTCTGTTTGCATTGTCCATAACACATCAGGAAATACAAAAGAAAACTCACCTGAAACCTTGAAATCTTGTCTGCCATCACAGGCTGTTGCAGTGACACCATTTAGGCTTATAATAACAAAAAGAGATTTCAAACATTCAAGAAAGAATAGCAATAACATTTTTCTCCTAAACATGATAATCCTTTACTTTCAAGTAAATAGTTTCTTATGGCCTGTTATCAGTCCTTCAAAAAACCTCCAGCAAAATCAAGGCAAACAGTGATACATTAAGCTGAAAAATGTTTAATTCAACAGGTAAATTGCTTTCCATCAAACCTTCCTCATGTTTAGTGCTGAACCAGCTCAGGGCATGGCCCACCCTCGTTTGCCTCTCTAGGTTAATTTGAAAAAAAAAAAAAAAAAGCAAGAAGGCACTACTTTGGATCATATCACTGCTATTAAACCAGGGCAAGTGAGCATCATGACAGAAACCAGTAATAATGCAGTGTGGAGGGATAGAATGCAAAAAAATATAATGCAGAAGGCAATCTCACACCTGAGGAGTTGCAGCTGTTCTAATCACCAAAGATTAGGAACAGGCCTGCCCTTAATGGGCCACAGATGTGTCCAATAATGAGGAGTGCTATAGAAGAGTGGGTGAGCTGGGTGAGGAGAGAGATGGAGTTTGTTGACTGTGCTGTGAGGCGCTGTCCACGAGAAATCACCAAGAAGGTATGGAACTTCTGCAATAAGATGACAATAATGTAGCAATAAGTTAAAAATACTTCTCTATCTCCCTTTCAAGATATAGAGCAGCTTCACAGGATTATAAAAAATTGGCTGTATTGGAGGGGACCCTAAAGATAGTCTAGTTCTCAGTGTCCCACCCAGCCTGGCCTTGAGCACCTCCAGGGGTGGGGTACTTAAATTTCCTTCTATCAGGTTTAGGAAGAGCTCTGAAAGCTGATGGGGACAATGTGGCAGAGTGTTTGATTCTGCTGGGTGCAGAGCACAGCTTAGCTGGGCCACAAACTTCCCAGAGCTCGCTGGTGCTGCAGATGCTGGCACGGGGCAGGCCTGACTTGTTGCAGGACAAGATGAGGATGTTGGTGTGTTGTGCAGACTCTGCTATGATTCAGTATCCAAATGGTAAATATTGGCTTATGCAGCTGCTAATTCCCTCAATATTTGCTTTTGAGAGACAGAATCCTATTGACTTCACACAATCAGACAGTCTATGTGTGATTGTAAATATCTCATTATGGGGGGAAAATAATTCTAATTTACATTGCTGCAAACCAAAAGCAACTGCTGTAGATTTACTGAGCAGTCAGAATCAGGCTCTCAGTTTCACAGCTGAAGCCCACCCTCACTGTCGATGGGCAAATACACACAGTCATTGCACAGGATTTAGTGAGCAGTATGAGAGCAGTGGTCAGCTCAAGCTCTGATACCTGGCACATCCAAATGAGCTGGCACTAGGATCACACTGTGGTTTTTCAAGGACTAAGGCATGTTTTCAGGAGCTTACAGGCAATTCCTTCCAGTGTGGAGAAAGGAAGGAGCGAGATGGAGCAGCACAGTTACAAACCCAGCCCAGAATCCCCTTTCTCCTGAGGGACTGGGGGGTGCTCCTGCTGCCTGCACTCGATACCAGCAAGTACCAGCAGCTCCACAGGACCAACAAAGCAGTCTTGGTTTACTGTGACAGCTGTGCTGCACATTTTTGATGAGGCTGTAGGCCAGTGCCAGCTGAGCCATCAGACAAGGTGGCTGTGAGAGCTGAGGCTCCCAGACTCGCCATTGCAGGATTTAAGTGCCGCTCTGCCCTGAAAGGTCGGAGCTTCTTCACTTGAGGGCTGCTTTGTGTGAGCCAGGAAGCTCAGTGCTCCCACCACTCTGGCATGGCACCAAACAGGGACAGCACCAAACACCAAGGGAAATCCAGAGGGGAACCATGACCACCTCTGACTCTCACCCCACTGTCCTTAGAGAGTCATGGCAAGAAAAATGCAACATGAGCTCCCTCTCTTCAAGCTTCCTCATGGTGAAGGTCCTGGCTGGGCATGGCCACTACAGCAAGGTCTCCCCAGCACTGTTCACCATTCCCTTACCTGGGACACAGCCCACTCCTCATCTGCCCTTGAGCTCCTTGCTCAGTGTGAACAGCCAAAAACCAACCCTGTCGTTCAGGGGTTTTTAAAGCCTTGTTTCTCTGCAGTCCTGTATTTCTGCTGAGGAGGGAACTCACCACGCCTTCCAGGTTTCTGAGGACTTGCTGCACCCCAAATGCTGAGGGAACTCAAAGAGGCATGGGGCTGTGCTGGAGGGAGGGCTGGTCACTGGGTACTGCCACAGCAGCACTCACTAAAAGGGATTATGTTTCTGAAATCTTCTTGCTTAACATTCCTCAGCCAGACCTTTCTCAGTTACACTTCTATTTTTTAATGCTCCCATTTCAGACTTGAGCATTAATCTACAGGTTTAGGGACTTTGATTCTTCTTTGTTCTGGTACGAGGCACCGAAGCCTGCCGTCAACAGACTTAGCAGCTGCTCCAAATATTTGGCTCTGGGACATGAGCACTAGGCTCTCTCACAGCCCTGCCTGTCAGACTGTTAGAGGGAAAGTCTCTGAGGTGATTAGTCAACTAATATATCTAATAAGGGGTTTAAGCAGCAATCCATTATGTTTAACAATTCTGAGAATCATTTCTCTTTTAGTGGGCTGTACAAGAGACGACAGTGCAGGGAGCAGTTGGCTGAGCATCCAATTCTCCCACCACCAACTGAATAAGGCTTATTTAAGTTTATCATCAATTTTACTTTGGCATAATTGATTGGCCAGATGTGTGAGAAGCTTTTACAAACAGCACAGTTCCTGCTGCTACATGCTTGCAGGCTGGGCTGCAGCTATGGAGGCCCAGGGAAGAAGCAGGCATTTACTCCAGCAAAACAGGGATACACAAGTTCATCACTCTCTTTTAATTTCCCTGCAAAGGAAAAGCAGATACTGGTCTGGCTTTTGGGATGAAAATGTTTTGAAATGTAGTCAAGCAATGACTTGTTAAGGGAAGACGGGAGATTTGGCTTACAGCTTCTTTCTGTTCCATAATTTTAAAAAGAAAATCCAGAAATAATTTGTTGTAAAAAAGTATCTCTACACTTTTAAAAATGGTTCTGTCAGCAATCTATTAGGAAAAATCCTATTCCTCAAGTTATAGCACCCTAAGGGGAAAAATTTTAGCCAAACTATATATAAATATGCACTTTCTTCCTGATAAAATCTGTTTAATTCCAGCATCTATTAATATTTGGACAAAGGGATCTCTTTGTTAAAGCTCATACCCTTTCATTTTCTATAAGGATCTGACAGTGCATGTTCCCCATGGCCACCAAAAATCAAGTAAGGCCAACCTTTTCTGCAAATGTAACCTCAGCCATAACTTGAGTCCCATTCCTGCGTTGGTGCCAGGCGACCCCTGGCGCGCACGGATGCAGCGCTCCCGGGGACACGAGAGCCTTGTGTGGTGCTTCCTGCTCGAGGCCAGGGAGCTCCAGGGTCACTTCTCCAGGTCTGGCCACACCAGCGAGCTCAGCAGCAGAGGGATGTGGCGTTGCTGAGCAGGCAGAGGCAGGAGGGAGCCTGGCCCTGTGCTCCGGAGCAAAGCGGCTGCCGTGGTCTCCCCTCACACCTCGCTGAGCTGTGCTCCCCCTCACACTGAGAGCCTCAAGGGCCCGTGTTAAAACTGCAAATTTAGCTGCAAGTAAGGAGGCAAGGGAAGGTTTTTAGGGCTTAATTTTCCCCTGCTGTGTCTACATGACCTAATTGGGACAAAAGACTTCTAAGCTTTATTTTGATGAAGCCTTGGTGAGATCAGGTGTATCATTTGTAGAAGAATCTCTCTCCACCTAGCTTGTATAAAAAGATAGTTTTCCCCCTGAAGACACTATTCAAATACCAGTATCTGCTGTCAGCTCACCAGTACCATTCTTATTTTGCCATATTAGCCTTGCATTTGGGGCCTGATTTGAGACCTATTAAAGGAACTCAAGCCTTGCACTAATGAGCAGGCCCTTAAAACACACCCAAAAGGCCGTGAAAAAATAGAAATAATCCATTCAACAGCTTTGCAGACTAAATCTCAAATGTATTTAACACTGAACTCTTGCTGCAAAGCTTGTGGGGGGATAAAACAAACAAGCCTCCGTCTGCTGGATTGCTTTAATAAAAGGTTTATTGGAAATATTTTTGTGCAGACATACAACAGTCAACAATGCTGTTCAAAGCTACAAATTGTCTAAGTTTTCTGAACCTTCTAAAAATACAAGTAAATGACCTTCATTTGTATTCAGTCTGAGAGGGAAACAAACTCCACTGTAATGCAATGCTGTATTTAAACTACCAGAGGACATTAATAGGACCTGAAAATGGTAACACTTCTAGAGGAAAAACCCACACACCACTGCTGCTCTGCTGGGAGCCAATTAAACATCCCCCCACAGCACCACTCCTCTCTGCATATCCAGATTGAAACGTCCCCATCTGAAACAATATTTAAGCAATTCGAGTACAGATATGACAGACAAGCGGGCACATGACTTGGCTCGCTGATGAAAAAGATGCTGTTAAAAATCCTGTCACTCAAGACCCTGAATATTTGACCTCCCTGTGCAATGGGCTGCACTTTGGGGGCAGGAGGAGGGACAGGGGGAGGTTTTCAAGTTAAACATCTCTTCCAACACACACATGTACACAGTCCCAGAGGGCTTGGCTGCCTCACTACTTTATAACTGGAGCCCTTTAAAAAAAAAAGAAAAAAAAGAGTTGAGCAAGAACTTTGAGCAACTTTGCAGTCTATGAACTCTTGATGGTAAGAACAGCAAGTACACTTATTCCTCTTCTGAATCAACATATCAGCCAGAAGGGCAGAGGAGAGCACAATCACTGTCTGGTAAACTCCATGTTTTCTAAGAAACCCAGCAGATGTTTTGAAATTGATTAATTTATGCCAAGACGACATCTGGAACATCTTCGCAGGAAAACCACCCAGTAAGGTAGTTAGAATTTAAAACAATCGTGTCTTTCTGTTAATGTTGGCTTTTCCCCTTGGCTTCATTGCTCCATAATTACAAGGGTGCTGACCTTCCAGCTATGCACAGTGACAGTTTGGCAATATATTAACACTTTTCTTCATTGTAAGACTTCTGAGTGATTGCCCAGAGCTGAGATTGCCCACACAGAATTTGTAATTTACTAACTTCTGTTTCTCTTTAGAGGCTACCAAGAGGCTGAATGAGAACGGACCTCTTGTGGCAGATTTCAGAAGAACTTATCTCACCCTCTTCATACGTAAAGAAGGCTTTGGATAAACACCAGTACTCAGCCACTTTACCTTCTGTCCACACCACACACGAGCAGGCCATGAATCCAAATGAAACAACCTCTGGGTTTCACACACTATCACAAAGATATCCAGCGATTAATGAGCCCCTTGCACCAGCTTGAGAGACAGGAACCTGCCCAGGAGCAACACCTGAGCAGAAATCCCACTAACTCTCCATGAGGGGCTGTCACCCATGACTGAAATAATTCCAGTGTTTAGTTCTGGTGAGTCCACGAGGGAAAGAGGAACCAGTAAATAATTTAGCAATCTTCATAACCCAGGAAACAACCTGCTAGAGCCAAAGCATGCTAAACAAGGAACACTTCTGGCAGGACTCAGCTTGGTGCCAGACAAACTCAGTTCCAGGAGGTAACAGTGCTTCACAAATTCTCAGCTCTGCTCCCTTCCCAGAGCCACAGGAAGGAACCAAAGAAATCAGTTTTATCACAGCTCTTCACGGATGCCTGAGGAATCCCTCCCCTCACTAACCTCTAACAGCAGCACTGGTCTTGGCCAATCTATTTTGTTTCCCTTCACCTCTCCAGACAGCCCATCCAAAAGCACATTCCTGGCCAGATAAACTCAGGCTGTCTAGGTTTCCTGCAGGTCACTGAGAAGCAATCACCTTTGGGATTCACTTGTGTGGCCAAGTAGTGCAGGGCACTTTCTGGTTTTCATTTGCCAACAAAGCTCAAAGCCTCCATTAATCTTACTGTTACATAAGGAAAAGGTACCCATATGGATTTATTTTGTTGTCACCTATTGTACTGACCTATCCCTGGCCTTCTCCGGACATAAAGCTCTGGTCACAGATGCTGAAAGGGAGTGAAGCCTCTCTTGGGTGTCTACAGGATACTGGGAAGAGGTGAGTGTAAGAATCCTTCCTGACAGGACAGAAGGGGTCCAACTGTCTGGAGGCTGAGGAACATGCATGGTCAGTGCCGTATTTTAGATGCAGACTGCTACCCAGATACACCATTGCTAAATTCTCCTCTCCAACCCCTCAGGTATTTCATACCATCACCACTTCTTGTTAGACTCAACAGGACACAAAGAGCTCTCCTGGACCTGATTGAAGTTTAAGGCATTGATACTGTGTGATGATTCAAAACAAAGGTAAAATACCCTCAGTGCTTAACACTAATGAGAAATCTGATAAACTCAAGGTGCTTCTTAGGGCCAAGCAGGCATTCAATGCCTGGTCTGCTTCAAACCTGAGCTGTGAGAAGTACACTCCTCGAAGCATTTAAAGAATAAATTAAGTCATTAGTTATAAAACCAAGGGAGAATGTAAATAGAGTATCACTAGCCTTCACTGATGACTGCAGGCAATGTGAAAACAGAAGATTTAGTGAGTTAGCCCAAAGGGCAAACTGCAGGACAGGGACAGTGTAAGGACTGTGCACCTCTAGGGCTGTCCATAGAGAGCCAAGTTGCACCCAGTGTAGCCACTGACCACGTCCTCACATTTCACATATTCATATAAATAAAGCTTTCTCTGCTTTATTTACACAACTTTATTATTATGACTGTCTCCCAGCGAACATACTCCAGTACATGCTGTAAAAAATAATGTAATCTTGGTAAGAGAGACTTCCCTGCAGCATCTGCTATGAGCTCCTGGCTGAAGTAAGGGAAGAGACTGCACAGTTTTGGCCATGCACTATGAGGTGTGTAGTCTAGTAAACTGCAGATTAGCGAGGCTTGACTGTTATCTTAATTTACAGCCCATAGAGTTCATGTTAACTCTACACACATTTTTATGTATATTAGCAGCTTAGTTTGAGCCAGATATTTTTATTAGTTATTTGCCATTTCTCCTTGACAAGTTATTACTGACTTCCCATTCTAGCTCCCTACAGCAAGACCTGAAGCCCTGTCAAGGAGAAGAAAATGTCAACAGACTCCTCAGCAGCGCTCAGAGCAGCTCGGGCTCCCGCTCCCCAGCTTTAAATTGCTACTAGGCAATCATTAAAGGAGCAGCAGCTTCTATGCAAGCTGTGATTATGGTGCTATAAAAAGCAGCAACAGAGCCCACTCTAATTCAGGAAAATCACCGCTTCCATCTGAATATCCAAACCCATCTCCTTTTGGTCAGTGCAGAGAGCCACTCAGGAAGGCCTTTTCTGATCAAGGCTGGGTAGTTAAGTCTGGACAGTCACGCAGAAATGCCCCATTCCTTCTGCTCCGATACCCCGTCGAGTCGATCACATTTTCACACAGCACTTTCAAAGGCTGCTGTTACTGCTCCGTGCATTTGCCCTAATGAACAAGGAATTCTGTTGATGCAGAGCAGCTGTCATTCTCCTTCTGCTAACACAGCACTCGAATGCACCTCATCATTGCTCATCAAGACAAGCAACTCCAACACCCAGTCTGCAGCACATTACAATACATTAATTCCTGTAATGACTCCAAAGAACAAGAAGAATGCCAGGTCTTGACCTGGGTGGGTTCTACAGAATTAACTCAGCTAGAGATTAAGGCCATACAGTGATGATAAAGTCTGACCCACCAGCCCCAGTGTCACATACTGTATAGCCCTGTGACAAATCCCATGTGCAATTCCCATTGAGCTGACAACCAACACACGTAGCTCAGTCTAAACCACCATTCACTCTAGGGAAGGTTTTTGTTTGTGACACACACTGACCTCAATTTACAGGGAGGTCAAAATGATACAGCCCATAGTCTGCACTAATAAAATAAATCACATCAGATGACAGCTGCTCCTCCCCAGCATCTTTCATTATGCTCTGCAAAATATTGCTGCCCTAAGTTAAGAACAGAAAAAACTCCAGGATCCCTTCTATTCTCTGCTTAACTCATTTACTTGCCATTCTTCATTATCCTAAGGCTTTTAAAAGTTTTTTTTCTGCAGCGTCATGAAAAGCCTCCAAATTGTTTACATGCCAATGTTTGGTGTGTAGCTTAGAGTACAAAGACTAAGCTGATCTCATTTTGCCTTGGTGGGAAGTTAATTTTCCTTGTGTTTTTACAAAAGGAAGAAACAATTAGCAGTTTTGAGGAGAGGCTTACACCACACATTTCCTAAACAGATTTGGTTTCTAAATAAAGGGAAGTGTTTAACAGGTTATATCAGCATTAAGATTTAAAAACTCCTGGGATCAGGTTTACTCTCCCCTTATTTATTCTCAGCACTAGCATTTGTGCCTTTAAACAAAATTCCTCTCCCAGAAAATACATACATCCACACTTGGCCCCTTGACATTCATGCCTATGGCAAAATTATTTGCACATTTTCCTTATTGCATAATTGTCTCATTAGCACTGCAAAAAGAAGGTGATGACTTTTCCCTCTGTGCCATCAGCCTAATTCAAGAGCAATCCTTACTGGTGCTGCAGGAGCAAAACTTGCCTTTTCTAAAAGAGAAGGGGACTCTGAACCTCTGAGGTGGCACTGGAAATTGAATTATAGCACTTGAGCGCTGGCATTTACTCGCAACCCTTAAGAAAGATTAAACCAGGCTGGAACTTCCCTCTCCTTTGCTAAACATAAACATTCATATTCAAATTGCTTTTGGATATATTTAAATCAATAAAAACCTCTGGATGATGGTCAATAGGGCAAAAAACAACGCCAACTTTTAAATACACAGATGTAGTATATACATTAACCACAAAGCCTGGCTTAAACACAGCAGTATTTACTTTATACTGTTCAGAAACGTGGCTTGGTGACTAAAATTAATAGAACTTGTCTGGAGGACAGCATAAGCTTTCTAAGAGCTCTTTCAGCTTTAACTTATGCCCCAGTTTTTGCCTTTTTTTTTTTTCTTCAAAATCCCAATCTATGCAGCAGCATGCCTGTCCCAGTGGCACAGCAAGGCCATGGAGCCAGCATTCCTTCCAGGGCTCATGGGTCTGGGTGTTTTGGGAAGCCTGTTGATGGATCAGATCTAGAAGAGGGACTGGTTTGGCTGAACAAACAAACAGCAGGTCTCCTCTTCACAATGGCCAGCTCTGTGTGTGTCCATGTGTGTGCACGCACGTGTGTAATCCCCTCCTGCCCTCCTCTGCAAACCTCTCTTTCCTGGCATGGGGAAGGCTTCCTTAGGGTTACACTATCAGCCTCCTACGCACATGTACATCTTATCAACATATCTGACCAGATGGTACCTGTAAATTGAAATTCTCACTGTTTTATTCTACTATTAAACTGGGAATGGGGTCATGGAGGGAAGTCCCAGGCTACACTTGAAGTGCACATCCAAATACATCATGAAGCGTTATGAGGAGGCACCTAGTTGAGTTCATCTTGGTGTACAATGCCATGCACTCAAGACAGCTGCTCTGCCAAGCTCTGACTTCCACATCCTGGCTGTGTGAGTAAGCTATTATTTGGGTTTCAGAAAGCTAAGATAGAACCCTAATAAATCCTGTAAGAGGGCAAATAGTCTAAGTAATTGATTGCTATCTTGTGTTATTCTGTCATAAGAAGGCAAATAAGCATTTTTAGCTACAAACTGTGTTGCAATCAAAAATTTTTACACCAAATGGTCTGTTGAAAATTTCAGCCAAATTAATTAACAGTGAATACAAGAAGGAGTAAAGTCTGCATGCAGTCGTGTGCACTTGGTCTGTGTGTAACAAAACAGGAAATCTCAGCACCCCGTTCCAATTAAGCAAAGGCTAATTTCTCATGGAACATAAATTTTCTACTTTTCCCCCAGAACAACTTTATGCCAATGTTTTAAATAATGGTAAAACATTGTTTTTAATTTCACACCTCACATAGCACAGTCAAATGCTTCATAACAACATAAACAAAACTTTAGGCAGAGCTTTGCGACTGAAGTCAAACAATGATTTCCCCCCCACAATATGCACTCAGGGTTTGCAGGGAGAATACAGAAACTTGTTGGCTAAGGCCACAGAAATGAGTTCTCTGGTGTTTTGGCTGCTGCTGCCAAACCTAGTCATGAATGTGTTAACAGTGGATGCATTGATCCAAATCCCATTATTCCCACCACCCATCAAGTAAAGAATAATTTATTCTATTTCTGATCTCCTTTTGGTTGTATCGTAGGATCGAACGACTTGTGACTGGGAAACAACACCGTGTTCTTCTTGAGAAAATGCATACCCATCTGAAAAAGCAGAAGAAGGAAAAAGAAATCAGTCACTGGAGTTGAGCTCAAGAGCACAGACCTCTTTTAGAAACAGTTTTAGGCATCACTGAAGTTATGTGATCGAGACCACTGCAACCTTAATTTCTGTGCTGTGCTTCTGATGCTCAGAGCTGCTCACTGCATTGCCCATGCGGCACAGAAAGGGTGTCTGCTGCCTGCCCTGTCCCTCTGCTCCCCTCCCCAGGGCAGGACAGTGCACACAGCCACCAAGGCCCTCTGAGTCAACCTAATAAGCTAGAGATTGATTTGAACACACTCCCACAGTACTCCCACAGTGGCAGAGCTTCTCTAAAGACTTAAGAGAGAGATAGATTTGCATTTCAGCTTGTCTCCTCTGAAGCCTGCTTGATACCAGCAGTTTCTCTGGAGAAAGGTGGGAATGTCCGCCTACAACCAGATTTTTCTCACATCTTCCTCTTTACTCCCCTCAGGATTATTTTTTTGAACAATTTTTCAAGTGGAATCTGATGAATGACACTGTGAAACTTTTGATTCTCTCGGCCAGTCACTTATATTTTGCATAGAGAAAACATGTTCTGGAGGCGTCTATTTGGTTAATCTTGCTGGCTAGCACAATCCTGTGGTCTCCCTAGAAACTACTCAGATGAAAATAACTACGTGCCTGATTTCTTTTAAAGTATTGTGGACAGGCAAGTGACATTTATTGATAGCATCTGCAGAACACCACAATGCTGGTAAAACAGTCACAAATAGCTAATGGGCAAACATGATGAAACAGCAGACAGACTTGCAGACGTGGCCTTATAGAAAGTTCTGAATGGAAGACTATAGCAAAGGACAGGAGATTTTTTTGACACCCCGAGTCACAAGCACAGCAGGAAATCTATGCCAGTAAGTGGAGGGGATTCAAACAGAAATACATTGCTTCAATCACATATCCCTCATGGAAGTGATTGCAGGGCAGCAGGAACCTTGATTTGATTATACGACCAATCATCCCAGCATCCCATTTCATTTTCCCTGAGCAGTTCCATGCCAATATACATACTGCTACGGAGGCACAGGTTTGTTTTTCCTGCCTGTAGCTGAAGGTTCACAGAATACATTCATGAAGGGCAAACAGCCTTTTGGAAAAAAGTGTATCCATCCTGGATCATTGCAAAGGAAGTATGATGTACAAAACAGGCTTTCATTTAAAAAAGGGTAGATTCACACTTACACAAACACCTCCACTGGGTTTGTTCCATGTCAAGGGCCAGCATCCTGTTAGCATTTTTGGCTAAATTCTCCATGGATAAGTCAACTTGGTCAAAGACCACAAGCTTAAACCCTAGAAGACTGAAGCCCATGTCCCATTGCCTGATTTGCATTGAGGTGGCTTTGCCATATTTACTTATCCATGAGATCATCCAGCGTAACAGAGTCTTCAACTGCCATAACCACTGCAAATCCAGCACTGACCACACAAGCCAGTAGTCCTGGGTGTAATCTTCCCATAACCTGCTTATTCCCAGTGCTGCCACAGACCTGCAGACAGCCAGGCAGCCCAACCACTCCGCAATGCCAACGCAAAATTCAGTCAAAGGAACCTGTTCACTGCTGTCACATCAACAGGAAGCACCTTAATACAGCAAGAAATTTCAGGCTAAGATGATCTGTGACAAGAATACCAGGGGTATCCTTAAATGTTCATGTCCCTCATCCATCCTGGACTATCAGCAACAAGGGTTTTGTGTGTATGTCATGGGAAAGGCTGTGACCCCCAAGCTCCTCAGCTGAAGCTCAACATTTGGCAGCTCATGTAAGACTTTTCCTGTAGATCTCTATACAGGAAGATGAGTTCATATTACATTTTTCTATTCACATTACAATTAAAATTGAACTTCAAGCTGTTTAGGCAGCTGACTGTGCCTTGTGGAATCAAAATGCTGCAAAAGCTTGAGTCTCATCCACACTCCCCAAGCAGCTCTACATTTCCACTGCTTCCCGACCCCATCCAAAAACAATGAAAGTTTCCATCTGTCAGTTACATGGGAACTTTCCGGAAGTTTGAACTTTTCCCCCAACTCCAGTTTTAAAACCACACCTATGAGCCTGCCTTGGGAACAAGGCCCTTATTGTTCAGTGTCCTGCAGCAGCCCAAGGAAAGAGTACATTTCTTTGGGGCTTTCTGGGCACAACCCACTCACCCTCACAGAAGGAAGGACCTTTATACTCTGAGACTTTCTATTAATGGAGGAAAGTGGCACTTTTGAATATCTGTCAATAGGGCTCATTTGTTACGAAGAGATTCACATTCTCATCAAATCTAAGGTTTCACTGGTACCAGGTATCAGACAATCTACTGAATTTTAAAAGCATCCTGTTGCATTTTTTAAAGCTTTGATATTCTATGAGTAGATCTGAATCTAGTCTCCCATTAGGTCTCTCATTTAACACTCTTTTTCTGTTCACTGCAATGTCTCTTCCGGTCTGTGCAACGCTGGGCTACAGCAACCATCTCTATGAGCGTGCCTCCAACACAGACAGCAACGCTGTGCAAGCTCAACAGCATCTCATGGCAACAGCTTCCAAGACCAGGACCAGAGAGTGTCCACAGGGCTCTCTTTATTCCAGAAGATCTCCTCATGGAAGGACTGTTTACAGTTTTTGTCACTTCAGGGATTTGTTTTAGAGGCCTTCTACTCCTTGCACTCTCCTTCTATTCTTGCACTCACCCAAATTGTCTGCCCCAGGATTTGTTTCGGCCAGACAGCAAGAGGGCACTTGTCACTGGCAGCCCATCAGAACTCTCACCTGCTGCAGCATTTCACTAGTTCCTACTACAGTGGTATTACGGTTTAGTACTGTCCAAACTATAAAATGCATCTTTTTGTTTGCCTTTGCAGAAAAATGCCCAGATTCAAATCCACTGAAACTTTTAGGGGATTGAGGAGATGTGAGAGACCTTTTTTTTTTCCAATCTCTTTTAGGAAACATTACTTCTTGGATAGCAAAACTCTCTCTGACATAATGAAAATCAACATTGTGGTATCACTTGACCAATCAAATTCTGTCTCAGGCGAAACATTTGGTTCTGCAGTCTTTAAGGAGATTTGCTGTGACATCACAGTGCATGTTTACCAGTTAAAAAGTGAATGCTAACTCAGCTTTGACTCAGCAACCATCTTCTATTTAACTTGGGAAAGGGAAAGCTGCCTAAAATCTTGAACAGTTTGACTAATGCTTACTGAAGTAAATAATTTCTCTTCTGATAAACCATGCCTGTGTTTTCTTAAGGACCCAAGAGGAATTCCTGACAAATGGTCCCATCTCTTTAGTCTCAGATACCAACTTATTGGTATTTGCAAGTAAAAATAAGAGTCAGATGCCACAGCATCAAATTCTAAACCAATTATTCCTATTTCTTTCCCCAAAATAGATATTAAAGTATTGCAACTCCACTTAACAGTCAACAAACATGTAGCTTGGAAAAAATACAGAATGTATATTATATTTCAAACACAAGAAAGATAAGAGGAAAAAAAAGTTTAAAAAGCATCTCAAGTAGCTCCCCTGTTGTTTTTCAAATAAAAATGCACTAGCAGAAAAGTGAAAGGAAGGAGGTGTCTGCTAGTGGAGAATAAATGGCAGGATTAGAGCCCTCAGCATGAACACATTATTATTATTTATTATTTGTCAGCCCCCATACTGTGAAACAAACCTCAGATGACAGGTGCTTTTTCTCCACTGATTAATAAGGTGCAAACCATATGCTCTGCATTCAGATTTACTCTATGAAATCACCATATTCTGTCAAAGGAAGAAGGATTTTCTTGGCTAGCATAGGAAGCCTGGGCCAACTGCATTAATCCTTGCTCAGGCATGGCTATTGGCGTTTCAGAGGGAGCTCTGCCAAAGCCCTGCTTAATGGGAGCAGACTCAGCTCTATTTTTAAAGAGCACATTGAGACAAATGATAACTGAACACCAGCAGGGGCATTACAGGAGGGAAACCACCCTAGAAGGATGCTGTGGAACTTTCCTTATGGATGGAGGGTACCCTTCCCATCCTCTGGGGGCACAGGTGATACAGGTCAGTCACGCAGAAGGAAAGGGGAGGTCAAGAGCTGTCTTTTAGATCTACAGAGTTTGTCCAAAGGAGGTGCTGCTCTCACAAAGTCACAGCAGTAAAAAAGACAAGAACCTGGATGGAGGCCTGGGGAAAACCTCCTGCTCATTCTTAAGAGGTTTCAGAAAGCAGATGGCAACGGGGAAGGATCAATTTCACCAGGCACCTTCATCAGGAGGTGAACATAGCTTGGGGAGCAGGGTTGTCAGCAGTGCCTACAAGATTGCACTGAGATGGTTTTATTTTAGCACCTGGGTTTGATAACCATATGCAACTCTTCCACTAAAGTCAGGAGCTTCACATTTCCTTTTTTTTTTAAGTTTTCACAAATGTCCCAGAAAGGAACCACGTGATCTTTGGCACTACAATCAGCAAAAAATTTCTTTCATGCTTCTGGCAGGTCTACACAATTCAGGAACACAAAGAGCAAGGAAAACAGCCATGAAGGTTTTACTTTAAGGACATACCCTTCCCAATGGACAGGGCTAGTCTCCAAGGCAGCCGCTCTGAGTCAGTTTCTTTAATGAGAGGAGGTGTTTGAGAGACTAAAGCTGGCTGGCACTCCCATATGGCACTGCCATGGCACTGGCTATGAGGCTCTGTTGCCCACTTTGGGGGCTGGACCCACAAGTGCCTGGTGCTGTATGGGAGCAGCCCTGACACACATCATGCCTTAAGGTCTTGTGCTGTGCTAATGCTTTTGGAAAAGGGCTGGCTCACCAACAGAGAGCCAAGGAAACACACAGGGAGCTTCTGCCTCTTGTACAGAGCCGTGTAGCCTTATTTCAGTCAGCTCTTTACTCCCACCACTGACCACCAGTAGTAGCCCAGAAACTCCCTGTGAGGTTTTTTCCTCTCCATGTAACTGGAAACAAAGCTGTTTAGGCATTGCTTCCTCCCAAAACATTTGGAAATGGTTGCTGTCAAAAATAAAGTAATTTCCAACCCAGTACTGCATCTTTACAATCTGTGCTACCAAATTTAATCCCATTTTCATTCCTTGTTGGGACCAAGGCAATCCATTTGCTTAAGCTTTTGTCAGCTCTAACTAAACAAACCATTTTCCTCCTTTATATGTAAGCAACAGATTCTGAGTTTAAGTCACAAAAGCAATTTTTGGTCTTCACAGCCTGGGAATTTAGGGCCTGGTGGAAATACATGAACAGTTCAAGACTTCAAACAGAGTGCTTGTAGTGTGATTTAAGATACTGGCCCGGCATGTCAAGGCTACTGCCCTATTCATCAACTCTTTGCTTTGAAGATTTCTAGCATTTAGTAAACAGTCGTACAATCCAGGGTTGTGAAAACAGCACATATGTTCCCTGGATTTTACATGGCCTTGTACATATAGCAGTTATGCAACACTGGAAAATAATATTTGACAAGAGATGACAGAAGTAATGGATACATCACTAAAACCATCTTTCAATCCTAACAGCTTCACAGTCAAAATTTATGTTCATGTGAAAAACAGATTGCTGATTGTAACCTGTCCTGAATGGCCTGACTCATTTAGCACTTAATCATTTGCATTTACAGGGAAGCTGGTTATCTAAATTAGGGTTTATTTTGATCTCGTTTTTCTTTCCCCATAGCTGTTTGCCTACTAACAACCTGATCATGTGTTCTTTGAGACTAAAAGCACATATTAAGTCTGACTAGTTTACCCCCTGGTATAGCTCCTTTCTGCAGTGCTTCACAGGTTTCAGATTGTGGTTAAGTCTGCACAGCAGACTATTTTGACAGCCATTTATTTGTGCATTTTATGGATTTCTTCTGCCAATCATTGCTTTTGGAATCTCCTCAGATCATGTTTGCATGCCCAAAGCCATGCTGCTATCAGCATCCCTGGCTCCTTTGTACAAAGGATTGCTCCTTTGTACAAAGGATTAAACCCTTGCAGAAATGTGGTCCACAGGGGTGCTCTGCTCACTGACCTCTCTTCCCAGACAGAGTGGGATTGATTGCCAAAGACCCCAGATCCCTTGACAGTGATGGCAGCCTTCCAATGGCTCTATCAAGGACAAACACTATCAGATCCATCACCGTCCCACGCTTCTAGTCAAATTTCCCATGGAAAACAAGAATACCTCAGGTATTATCCCAGCCCTGCCTCCATGACCTGAGCCATAACAGTTCTGCTACAGAAGGAGACACAGCCAGCAATGAAATTTGACTCCTCTGTGATTCTTGGGCAGTCAGGGGTGTCACTTCCTACTGCAATTGCAATACAAACCCCAAATCCTGAGTGTCTGCCCCTTGCCCTGTGTGCAGCAGCACTGCACAATGAGGGAGTTACTTTCTTTAATAAATAAGCCTATTGATACCACCAGTTTCATCACAAGAGAGACTGCATTTGCTCACTAGAAAGGGCTGACTGGACTCCCTGGTCCCTCAAGACAGCTTGGTCCTTTGGGGCATCTGGCCTGCAGAGCTGCTAGAGATGATTTTAAATATTGTGGAAGCTTTTAAAACACTGACAAAAGCCCATCAGGTCCTGCAGACACAGGAAGACAACTAAATGGATGACTTATACATCAACAAGAAATGCCACTGATTTGAAGCAGCAGTAGTAGCCAGTTGTGATGTTGCTTCTCTTTTCCCAGCAGCAGACAAAGAGGGAGAGGAAAGTGAGAGAAGCAGATCTGCAGGCCATGGCTTTCTTCACAGCAACAAACAGAACCCTAATGGCATCCCTGAAACATCTCTGTATTCTCAGCTAACCACAGCTAACATGACATTTCATACAGAAATAATTTCTATTAAAGCTAGGCTCTACCATAACATTTACTTTACACAGAGTTTTTGATTTTTAGACTATTCTTAAGACTATCAGAATTCTACCTTTAGAGAACCTGTATACTGGGATTCTATCATTTGGGCCTGGTGATTGAATCCCAGGGAATTAACCACATTTGAGCTCCCCTTGCCTAGGGCCAGATACACTAATTCCACTTCCAAATGTACGTGTCTCGCTTGGCAGCTCAGCCTCAGCGTTAGATTATCTCTACCTACAATTTAATTAAAAAATAATCACCCTTGGCTTCCCTGATGTGGAGCTAGGCTGTGAAACAGAGGCGGACGTGAGCCGCTACTTACGTGACACGCTTTGCTGGACAGAATGAGCGCGGAAAAGGCTCGGAGGAGTTTTCCTGCCGAGCCTTTTTAACAAATGGTCACGTTCGTTCACGCTAAGGGAGACAGAAAGAGAGAAAACACACCGGTGAGTAACCAGATCATTTCAAGGTAAAAGTCAACTGTATTTAAGGTACTTATCAGTTTTGACTTTGTCAGTGCTAAAGGTGGTTGTAACATGAAAAAGAATTTTCTCTCTCTTTAAACTGCACATTATGAAGAGAACTCCTCCTTTCTAAGGACACTTTGTATAAATCTACTTTGGTCAGTTCATCCCTAATATCACCATCATTGTGATTTCTGAATGTGTGATGCCTCTAAATTAGTATGAAACATATCAGAAGTCTGACATCGAGTGATATGGAACATTAAGAAGATGTCTCTTTAGTATTATGCACATGAATCACAGCATACACAAACTGCCTTAGAGAGAAGGAGCAAAGCATTGTCGCTTGGCACAAGGTACAAGGCTTCTATCACACCTGCAAAATGGCCTGAAGCAGCCAAAGGTAGGACCCATAGTTAATTCTGCCTTCTAAAGAATGCTCTCACTTTAACCAACCTCCCATATGGAAAGAAAACTTTCTATTCAGCTTCCTTTATTAAAAACCTCTTGGTTTACACAGTTCTTGTCAGAGGCCTGAAAAAATTGGTGCTGAATTTACAAAAAGAGAAAATACCAACTTAAGATGAAAAACACAGTACGTTTACAACAGGTGTAACATACCAACAAGAATTATTAGAGGCACTCTCCACTTTGATTTTTATAAAAAAACAACACTCGCTTCATCAAGAACTTGATGACCAGAGTTAAAAAATTACTACTAAGATCCTGACCTTTCAAAGCACTTAATTATGTATATGAGTCCCACTAAGTTCAACGGGGTTTTAAAATAACACAGGCCTTCAAATCTCATTGCACTGGAGCCTCAAGTAACTTCAGTATCAGATTATTTTCAGAAAGGTATTAGAGTCTACTTTGGTTCAAAGCTCTCCACAATTGGTCTGTTTATTCCTCCTCGCCCTTATTTCAGACACTGAGATGGAGCTAGTGCATAGAAGGGATCTGTTTGCTGGTACAGGTCCTTGCAGTGCCTTTGTCCCATTTGCCCCACATTTACACTGTGTCTCCGTTTTCCCAGTCCGCTTTTTCTTTCACATCTTTATTCACAAGGAGCAATTGCACTGATTATGCTGCAAACATGGATACACACCTGAATGCCAATGCTGGTATCTTCCTTGGGTTAGATTACAAATTCACATGCATTTGGTGTAGGAAATGGAAATCCCAGCAAGCGCAGCTGCTGCTGTTGACACGCTAACAACAGCTTTAAACAAACAACTCCCTTTCACTGAAGCAGTTTGCTAACTTCAATCAGGAAAGTAACTGAAGAATCTCTGAGATGCCTGTAATATGTAATCCAGCCATGCAGGCTTATATTCCACTTAATAGTCCATTAGGGCAATAGCCAGGCTCACAGTCCACTGTTCAGTGCATAATGAGGTGTCCACAAAAGACAGGGTGGAATCCTTCTCATTTTCCTGTGATCCCTAAGCTCACACAGCTGAACTAGAAGCTTGTAAAACCTATGGACTCCTCCTCAAAATCTTTACAAACTCTAAGCATTTTCAGACACTTGGTCTCTTCCCCTCCTTCCCAGGCCTGGCACCATAGAATCACACCTGCAATGGGTATGGCAGGTTGCTTTCCCTGCCTGCAGTCAGCAGTATTCCCTCAACATAAAACAGAAGTTGATAATAAATTTTGAAGCAAAGTATTGATTCCAACTGAGTTTGTCAAACAAACTCTAACAACTCTTGGCTCAGGAGACCTACAGGTGTTCAAAGAAGAAAGGATCAGAGGTTTCCATTAAAACTAGGGTTACAGCATGAAAGCTTCTAAAAATCTTGGAGGACCCAAGTGATTAAAAAAACCAAGATCAGTTTCTGGCTGTAAGAAAATCTAGCACATACAGAAAGAAGTTTATACCTGTTCCAAGCAGGCAGCATGAGGGAAAACACATACTACTAAGAATCACCAGGTAGGGGTGATGCAATGGAAGGCACAAAGCAAGGCATGAGACTTTCTAACCTTTAACCTTCCTTGCTTAGGAAGCTGACAGCCTGCAGAACCAGCCACTACCAGTGCATGTGCAAACCAGTAATGCTGTACTGCACAACCTCCTGCTGCCTGCAGGAGACTGCTGAGTAACTTGTTAGTTTAGTGAAACACTGTCTAAACACACTGCTGTTCTGCGAATGACAAAAGTGCAATACTCGTTCATGTTCTGCAGGCAAAGAACATGTAGGAAGACTCTTCTATCTCGGTAGGAGGGTGATTTAAACTTAAACCAATCAAACTTAAACCAATCAAAAATACTGTTGTAAGCGACAAATAAGCAATATTTGCCACAAAATTCTTATACTGAGAATGGAATTAACCACAGCAGAAAAGCTCACAAGGAAAAATTCTTCATCTGCTTGTCTACCATGCAGCAGCAGATGAAGTGCAGACCAAAAATGCTTAGCCCCTCAAGCTTCTGCATTCAGTGTGTGGAGGAAAGCCTGCTGTCAAGGGACCTCTGAACAGGAGTGACACACTGCAGCTCTAAGAATGCCAAAACTATGCTATCTTTGATATTGCTAATTATAATCAACAAGTTCAAAACTGAAGTCACAACTGATTTTCCCATTTGGGAAATTATATTGGACTGTATCTATGCAGAGAAAGAGAAACTCACAGTAGAATTAGAGTATTTGTGGTTCAAATATGAGGGATGGCTAAATAGACTGCAACGCAAGACCAGTCAAATACTATAAGATAAACCTTTAATACACAGAAGGTAATGCAACACAGTTCTTCTGAATTGGATGAGTATTTTATTTAGCTACAGATATTAGATCTCCCAATAAAATCCCTGAAGTGAAAGTGAAGTGGCTTTCTTAACTAGTAAGTGTTTGCACTTGTACAAGTCCCTGCTTTCAGAAAAGGTTTCTGCCTGCTGCTAACAGGCAACAAAGTGAAGACTTCTCTGTCTGCCTCACACTTTGATGCAAAAGTAACAACACTAGGCTCACAGGCAACAGGTTAGGCCTTGCTCACAGAAATACTGCTTGTAAATCAACCCCAAGCATTAGCCATGATTTTCAGGTTTAATTCTGTTTCCTAGTGACCCTGAGCCAGGGCCTAAACACTCCCATGGGATCTAAGGATGGCATCTTCAGATGCATTGAGACAAAACGATAAGAGATCATGAGATCACACTCTGATTACTGGACAGTGGTGTTCATATTCAGGAATCTTGTCAGAATGGAAGAAGTCACAAACCCAGACATTCTTACGGAAGTCACTTCCATAAGAAAGTGTCAGTGACATGGAAAGTGACAGTGAAATATGCTTTAGCTGGTTAGTCAGTAACCGCCAAGGGGTAAGGGAGAGGCACCATCTATCTCTAATTATATGAAGGACAAAGGACACAGACAAAATGCTTTGAACTAAATATATACTTGACTAGAACAAAAACTGTTAAAAGGTCTCAATTCTGAGAGTTTCTATGAAAAAAAAAAGATTTAAAAAAATTATTAGCCAAGTCAGTCAAAATCAGATTCAGTTGCTATCAATAATGCAGAATACCTTAGGCCAGGAATACCTTTGTGATGGCTTCATGAGAAAGTCAAGATGACTTCTGCCTGCCTAGAATTCTGTGCTAGCAACATCACACAAATTCATTAAGTGAATGACAAATCAAAAGGTAAACTAAAGGCAACATGTTATTTCATAACAATGCTTTCAATTCCATGAATAAAACGACTCTTCCATCTTCCTATCTGAATTGCTCTAAGGTGTCAATGGAGACCTTCATTTTATTTTTGTATTCTCTTCTTCTTATCCCTCACAAAAGCAAACAGCCCTTAAATCCAGGCAACAAACATCTGGCTTTACACATTCAAATGAGATGCATCAAAACAAACAGAATAATTCAAAGCTGACCACAAGGTCCTGCTGTCTCATTTGCTCAAGTAATTAAAAAAAGATGAGCTTCGCCACAATTAATCTACTGAACACTAATTAGCGTTAATGAGGATTTGGGGTATTTGGTAGAGTTTGACCCAGAATGTCCTCCCGAGTCCATTAATTGACTGGTGGCAAAAGCTGGGATCACAAAGACTGGAAGGTTAAAGTGGATGCAGGTGTCTCTTAAAATTGGATCTTCCCTTTGAAAACACATGCCTATCTCAGTTAAAAAAGAAAAAATAGAAATTCAGAGCCCTCCTTCTCTTATAAAAATGGAATTCTTGTTTGTGTTTTGTTATGATTTGCCAGAGGAGATACAGAGCAGAAGCACACCAAATAGGCAAATACACTCAGTTGCCACTGGTTTTAACTCACTGCCCTTCTGGATTATGAAGAATTCAGTCAGACACAGACATTAGAAATTACTTGGTTTGTTTCTGCTTTCCCCTTTCCAGAAGGAAGAACTAGGGTGCCTAGTGAAGCCTTACCAGGGCTGCTAGAGATGACACAACTGAAGCACACAAACACATTTCCCAGCTGCCCACCCCGTGCCAAAAACATGCCAGGAACTCAAGGCAGAACCTTGGCTCTCCAGGGCAAGATAATCAGGGTCCATGGATAAGCCCAGAGGACAAGAAAGCTGCAGCTGTTTGCCCTATCATCTGAACACCTACAAAGCCCTCACTACACTGCCTGCAGGTGCAGCATCACTGGTTCTGTACCCTACAGTGGAGCTGCAGCAGACAGTCACAGATAAATAATTGTTCAGCTTAGTTTAAACCAGAAAATCTAAACCTCCAAGGCTTAGGCTGAAGTTCTGTCCTTAACTCCACAGCCTCCCTCCTACCCATAAGGATTTTCAAAAGAAACAGCAGGTAAACCCTTGTTCAGTCTCTTTGCTTCCAGTGGCACACACTCCGCTAAAGACAGCCTGAGAAACTCTGGCTGGCTTTCATTATTCTCCTGTTGGAGGAAACATCTTGCAACGGGTTGCCTTGTCACTGTGACAGCAGGGACCTGAAAGAATGAGGGAGGGGAGAA